TTAAAAGTAAAAAAAATGAAAGTCAATTAAATTTTGACTCTTGTTGGCCACCATGATTTTTTATTTAGCAAATTTGATTGTAAGTCAGGATTTTGGCAGATAAAAATGGAAAAGGAAAGCGTACCTTGGACAGCCTTCTGTTGCCCTCAAGGACATTATGAGTGGCTAGTTATGCCCTTTGGATTAAAAAATGCACCTTCCATATTTCAGCGCAAAATGGATAGTATATTTAATAAATATAGTTTTATACTGGTATATATAGATGACATATTAGTGTTCAGTCCAGATAAAAGTAGTCACATAGATCATTTGTATATAACATTAGAAGAATTCATAAATAATGGAATAATAATTAGCAAGAAAAAGATGGTATTAAACAAACCCTACATAGAATTTTGAGGAATGGAGCTAGGAGATGGAAAAATTAGGTTACAACCTCATATAGTCAAGAAAAATTTAGACTATCCAGATAAATTAGAAGATACAAAGCAACTGCAATCCTTTTTAGGAATTCTAAATTATGCACGAATGTATATTCCTAACCTCAGTAAAATAATAGGACCCTTTATAGTAAGACCACACCTACTGGACAAAAATATTTCAATCAGCAAGATATAGCTCTAGTTAGAAAAATAAAAGACATTTGTAAAAACCTACCAGACCTACAACTTCCCTTAGAATCTGAATACATAGTTGTAGAAACAGACGCCGGTCAATTAGGATGGGGAACAATATTATTAGCTAAACCCAGTAAATATGACAGTAAAAATAAAGAACGCATTTGTAGATATAGTTCTGGAAAATTTAAAGAAAAAGATACTACTATGACCAGCCTAGATTTTGAAATACTAGGAGTAGTATACGCAATAAATAAATTTAGATTATTTTTGCACAAACCTTTTACAATAAGGACAGATTGTGAAGCCATAGTTAGATTTCATAACAAACTAAACGAGCGTAAATTAAGTACTAGAAGATGGGCAAAATTTTTAGATTGTATAGTAGGACAGGGATATAAAGTAGAATTTGAGCATATTAAAGGAAGCGATAATAAATTAACGGACTGGTTAAGTAGAAAAATTTATTTAAAAAAAGAAGATAACCAGTTTAATTTTTGTGCAGATAATGGAGAACAGCAAGACCATGAACTTTGGGGGATTTTCTCTTCCCATTCATGAAGGCAGAACCAAGTTCAGACCCTTAACAGGGATTGAGCTAGACCCAGTTCAACAGTGTCTTTTAGATAACCTTTGGACCAGCCAAAACCACCCAGCTAAGCGCCTTTCAGCTCTAAACTCTCTCAGTATATATTTTTTAAAAATCCAAAACAAGCCCCTGTCTAAAAGTTTTTCTTTTTATGTAGTAGCTAAAGGAACCAAGCCTGGTATTTACCATGATTGGATAGAAGTAGAACCTCTAGTCAAAAATTTTTCCATACCTCAGTTTAAAGGATTTTATGATTTTGAGTCAACCAGTACCTATGCCCGAAGACAAATAGGAACCAGTTACTTTATTAGCCAGATAGCTAAAGATTACCTGGACACATTGAGCAAGATGAGATCTACCATCTTTGCTACCAGTGGCGTTCCAGTTAGCCAGACAAGTGGAAACAGTAGTACAAGCAGCAGTAGTTCTAATCCCCAGATAGACTCCCAGAATCCGCTCCAAATGTGCAGACATTGTGAAGGCCTTTCCAGAAATTTCAAGAAAATTATGAATAAAGGCAAGAAGGTCAGTGAAGAGCTGAGGGAGTTTTGGGGAGGGAAAAAAACATCAAGGGATGAAATATTTTTTTAATTAAAATATATGTATTAATTACAATAAAATGGGATGATTTTAAAAGATAATTATAAATTTTAAAATATGGATCAAATTAACTCATAATTAGCTAACGAATTGATATGAATTGAATAATTTTAACGAATTAGATAATAATTTACGCAGTTTTATCGATAATCATCTTTTTCTATTTCGGGAGTATGGTTACATGATGTTTTATAATATTATGATTGATAGATAGGACGAAACTAGAATTTTATTACTGAATATGCTGGAAAAAAAAAATCACCATATGCACAAGCAGTGGCGGAGCCAGAAAATCAAATTAGAGGGGGCACCTATTAATTATATTATTGAAAAATTTTACAAAAATATTTAACACAAGTTTTTACGATTGATTTCGAGGAACATAAAAAAAAAATAATGTTATTTATAACTAGTGTATCATGGACAATATAAAAAATATAGATATAAGTCTTAAAATAAATTATATAATGATAAAAAAAATTTATACAAAATTTGATTAAAAATTCAATATAATGGTAATACCACGTTATCATTAGTATATGATATCACCAACTAATAGTAAATAAACACATAGAGAGTGAACCTCACATGTCAGATGTAACTAACAATCCAACAAATTTCATATCTTTATAATGAGATTAGTTATATTTGCATGTCAATAATAATGACATCACCGTTACATTCAAAATTTTTCATAAAATTTTCATAGATGATATGGTTTATAAAAGTCTCTTCATTTTCATTCAAAACAACCATAATTGTTCTCATAATTTTTAAAATGTCATTGACATTTCACTCAAATAATATTTTTGTAATTTTTTTTATTTAAAATATTTTCTTTATATTTGCAACAAAACAACAATAACAACAACAACGCCCAATTAGTACACATTAATATGTGTTTGGGAGGAGAAAAATTGAGTACACACCTAACCTTTGACATAATACACAAAGTGGTAGTCCCAAGACTTGAGCTCATAACCTTAAGGTTATTAGACCAAGTCTTAACCATTAAATGAATAATCACTCACTTTCTTTATATTTGAAAAAAAAAAAAGAAAACCCAAAATTCAGGGGGCACGTGACCCCCCTCGTCCTTGACTGCCTCCGCCACTGTGCACAAGTATACATGTATGTACAATATGATATATAAATTATATATATATATATATAATTTTTTTTTTAAATATTATAGAAGCAATCTCTAATTATGGCCCTGTTTGGTGTAGCTTAAAAGTTGCTTATTTCAGCTTTCAGTTTAATTTAAACTATTTTGATGTGTTTGGTTTAGCTTATAGCTTATAGCTTATAGCTTTTTGGAAGTCAGAAATCAGCTTATTCTTTGAGTGGGGCAGGATATGCTTAATTTATAAGTTAGAAATTAGCTTATGTTCATAGTTATAAGTTATAAGCTGCTTAGCCATAAGCTATAAGCACTTTCCACAGCTCTACCAAACATAGTAATATAAATTAGACATTTGGCAGATTATGATTCAATATTTTTTATTACAATTAATTGGTAAATTAAGAAGAGTGTTTTTTAAGTATCCTACTTTGATGGGAAAGTAAAATCATTATTGAATGAGGAAACTGGTAATCTCTTAGAGGACCATTTATGTATAAAATGATATATATTTTTAAAGTTCTATAACAAATAATATTTTTCATAGAAACAAAGGTTATGGCCCCATAGTCTTCTCCTAGTTTCATTCCTGTTGATAGAAAATATGAGATATTATGAGTGTGTTTCGTTTATTTTTGAGAGAGTGATTTTTAAAAAAAAAATTTGGGGAGAGAGTTTAGAATTTTTTTTAATTTGTTTGGTTGTATATTTTGAAAGTAGTTTTGGAGTTTAAAAGTTTGGAATAATTTGATGTTTTGTTGTAATTGAGTATATATATGTGAGAGAAAAAGTGATTGAGAAAGAGATAGGAGAGAAAAAAAGTGATTGATTGATGTGTGGGAGAAAAAAAATGATTTTGAAATTTTTTTGAGAAAAAACCACAAACCAAACAAAATTTTTAAAAAAAAAATTCAAAAATAACTCTCCCAAAAGCAAGCCAAACAAGCCCTATTATTTATGTTGAGTGATTTTGGAAGATGAAAGAATATGATGAATGATAATTAATGAAAACTATAGCCCATATAATTTTTTCATAATTTCATCCCTGTTGATAGAAAATGTGAGATATTATGGGTGTATTTGGTTTGATTTTGGGAGATAGATTTTCAAAAAAAAATTGGAGAGAAAGTTTAGAAATTTTTTTGGTTTATTTGGTTGTATATTTTGGAAATAGTTTTAGAGTATGAGAGTTTAAGATGATTTGATATTTTATTATAGTTGAGTAGATATGTGTGAGAAAAAAAGTGATTGAAAAGGAGAAAGAAGAAAGAAAAAGTGATTGATTGATGTATAAAAGAGAGAAAGTGATTTTAATTTTTTTTTTCTAAAATCATTAAATCAAATAAAATTTTAATTTTTTTTTTTAAATTACCCTCTTAAAATCAAACTAAACAAGACCTATAATTTTATGTTGAACGATTGAAAAAGATGAAAAAATATAATGAAGGACAATTAATGGAAAAAGGAGTTTTCTTAAGTGTGCAAGTGCACACCATGTGCCACTTACACAAAAAGTGTAAGTGTAAGGTGTAAGTATAAGTATAAGGTGTAAGTGTAAGGTGTAAGTGTAAGGTGTAAGGTGTAAGTGGGTTGCACATGGTGTGCAACCTCAAAAAAGGTGTAAGTGTAAGGTTTAATTTTTTACAAAAGGTATAAGTGTAATGTGTAAGTGTAAGGTATAAAGTGTAAGGTCTAAGTTGCACACCATAACCAAACCCAAAAATATGAACATGTGCATTTCGGATAATTTTTCCGAGGGATCACGTGCCTTTTTGGGGTTACGGAACAAACAGACAAGACCCTCTCTTCGTCATCTGTCTGTTTGTAATGTAATCTCTGTCACCTTGCCCACGTGTACATACACCAGGACATTCATCCAACCCACCACCCAGTTACAGACACAAACAGAAACACAGAGAAAGAGAGAGAGAGAGAGAGAGAGAGAGGCCTTGTGGGGAGAAAAGCCATCGAAGCGAAGGGAAAGGAAAGGAGGGTCTCAGTGAATTCTTCTTCACCTTTTCAGTCCCCTCTTTGCTCTCTCTCTCTCTCTTCAGTCCCCTCCTCGCTCTCTCTCTCTCTCTCTCTCCATGTGATTGCTTTTGATTTGCCAAAAAACAATGGAATGAAATCATTCATTCATTCATTCATTCATTTCACACCCTTTTTCTCCAAAAACCCTCATCATCAACCCTCATCACTCTCACTCTTCCTTCCTCTCTACTCCTTCTCTCTCTAGAATTCCAATCCACCTCTTGCGATTCAATTTCTATTCCCAATTCTGAATTTGGTCGATTCTTATTGCTCTCTGTTTCTCAATTTCGTTGATCAATTGGTTTCTGCGATTGAATTTGGTTCGTTTGATCTGCATGGAGGCTTATCGTTGAATCAAACATCGTTTTGGATCCAATCGGAGGAGCAACAGCGCCATTAGATAATGGCGCTGTTCAGAAGGTTCTTCTATCGGAAGCCGCCTGATCGTCTTCTCGAGATTTCCGAACGCGTCTACGGTTCGTTCTTCCGTGCTCATTCAGCTCATACTTCAAATTAGGGTTTTCTTTCCTCTTTTATTTTTATTTTTATTTTTTTCTTGGTGGGGTTTCAAGTCGTTTAATTTCTGAATTATGTTATTTTTTTTAATGTATTTGTTTGTTTAATGTTCTTAATTACATTGGGTATTTTGCAAATTGGGAAATTAGTACGTTAATCTCTAATTTGAAGTTTCATTATTGGTTTTATGTACTGTCTTGAAATTGTTGTCCTTTGTGATATTTATTAGGAATCGAGCTTGGAATGTTGCAAATGTTACTAGTTAGAATGCCAGAGTTCTGAAACCATCAAAAAGTTGAGGAATTGAATGTATTGGAGACCTGTTCAGTGTGTATCTAGTACACTAGAATTCTCACAAATTGATATAGTATTTCACAATTTTCAATGTCATGTCTATAAAGTAAGTTTGAATTGAGGATTAACCCAACAACATGTTTATGTCACAAAGTTACTAATTTGCTATACTTTTATCCAAATATTGAAGTTTCGTAGGTAGAAGAACAGGGAGAGTTTTCTAGGATATATTACTTTATTAATGTACTCGGTACAGTAACTGGCGTAGTAAAACTCTTAGGTAGCATTTGGTTCATGGATTTGAGGAGAGATTTGGAAAGGAACGGAAAAAGGTGTGTAAAACTATGTGAAATATAGGTATATTTTATTCACACTTCACCTACTTTTTCGCTTTCCCTTTCCTAATTCCTTCCCAAATAACCAAACATAGCCTTAGGTAGCATTTGGTTCACTAGAACGATGCGGAATGGAATGATCATTCCATTAAAATGTTCATTCCCATGTTTGGTTGGACTAAAAAAGTGATAGACAAATGCATTACAAATGAAATAATCTTTCACCATGTTAAAGGAATGGTCATTCCATAGGAAAACCTAAAGAATCACAATTCCATTCCATTCCTTGTCATTCCAATGAACCAAATAGAGCATTACTGCTAAGCTGGATTTCTTGACAATTCCTTCAGGAATTGTTGTGTATGATTCTTGTGATGATTTTTGATTTTGGATGTTGGTTATATGATTCTTTATTTTTTTTTCCTCCCTCCATTCGCAGTGTTCGATTGTTGCTTCTCCACTGACGTATTGGAAGAAGATGAATTCAAAATTTACATGGGTGGCATTGTAGCTCAGCTGCAGGACCACTATCCGGATGCTTCTTTCATGGTTTTTAACTTTAGAGAAAAGGAAAGGAGGAGCCAAATTTCGGATTTATTGTCTCAGTATGACATGACAGTGATGGATTATCCTAGGCATTATGAAGGGTGTCCACTGTTACCATTAGAGATGATTTACCACTTCCTTCGGTCCAGTGAGAGCTGGTTGTCATTGGAGGGTCAACAAAATGTACTGTTGATGCACTGCGAAAGGGGAGGATGGCCTGTGCTTGCATTTATTCTTGCTGGTCTTCTGTTGTACCGAAAACAGTATAGTGGTGAGCAGAAGACTCTTGAAATGGTATACAAGCAAGCTCCTAGGCAACTTCTTCATCTTTTGTCTCCTTTAAATCCACAACCTTCTCAGCTGAGATATCTTCAGTACATTTCCAGACGGGATTTGGGTTCAGATTGGCCACCATCAGATACTCCCTTAGATTTGGATTGTATTATTCTTAGAGTTATTCCCTTGTTTGACGGAGGAAGGGGTTGCCGACCGGTTGTTCACATTTATGGTCAGGACTCTTCTTCTACCACAGCCACTAAAAGTTCAAAGCTTCTGTTTTCGACTTCCAAGACAAAGAAACGTGCTCGCCATTACCAACAGGTAATGCCAAATTCACACATTTCAAAGCTAAAGGATTATGCGACAAGGATTTGTAGTGTACTTATGACTTCTACCTGCAGGAAGAGTGTGAACTAGTGAAAATAGATATTCATTGTCGTGTTCAAGGGGATGTTGTTCTTGAGTGCATCCACTTGGACAATGACCTAGTAAGGGAGGAAATGATGTTCAGAGTTATGTTCCACACTGCATTTGTCCGTTCAAATGTTTTGATGTTGAATCGTGATGAAGTTGATGTTTTGTGGGGTGCAAAGGACCAGTTTCCAAAGGAGTTCAAAGCAGAGGTATGATCTTGTTTTACTTAGGTGGCATGTCCTTTATCTGAAGCTGTATGGGTTGAATGCATACTCATATTTGTATCAGGTTATCTTTTCGGATGCTGATGCAGTTCTACCTATCATCACCACAGAAAGTGAAGATGAGGATGAAGAAGAAAGTGCTTCCCCTGAAGAATTTTTTGAGGTCGAGGAGATCTTCAGTAATGTAGTAGATGGGCAGGACAGAAAGGGGAACTTGGATACTCATATAGTTCTTGAGGAGAATAATAAAGTAGTTCTTGAGGAGAATAATAAAGTAATTTGGACTGAGGCTTTGGAGCCTCATGCATTTGAAGACTGTGCATCGGATGATGGAAATCACAAACAGGATGGGGGTTTTTATTCTAAATCTAGTTCAGCTGAAGTCATTGCATTTGATGATAGGGATGAGTCAGGTTCCATAATCATGATTGCTGATGTGCCCAGCAGTTTAGAGAGCAAGGTAGTAACTGCAGATATGAATGGCAAGTTAGAAGAGATGGAGAATAGACAAGAAAGAGAAGACTCTGCTATGCAGAAGAACTTAGAGAGGCAGGATTCACAGCAGAAGTTGAGTGCTCATATTAGTAGACAAAAATCTGATGAGTCACTTCCACCCACACCAGAGGTAGTAACTGCATATATGAGTGGCAGGCTAGAAGAGATGGAGAATGGACAAGAAACAGAAGAATCTGGCATGCAGAAGAACTTAGAAAGGCAGGATTCACAGCAGAAGTTGAGTGCTCATATTAGTGGACAAAAATCTGATGAGTCACTTCCGTCCATACCAAAGGTAGTAACTGCAGATATGAGTGGCAAGCTAGAAGAGATGGAGAATAGACAAGAAACAGAAGAATCTGCTATGCAGAAGAACTTAGAAAGGCAGGATTCAGAGCAGAAGCTGAGTGCTCGTGTTAGTATACAAAAATCTGATCAGTTACTTCCACCCACACCAAAGGTAGTAACTGCAGATATGAGTGGCAAGCTGGAAGAGATGGGGAATAGACAAGAAACAGAAGACTCTGCTATGCAGAAGAACTTAGAAAGGCAGGATTCACCGCAGAAGTTGAGTGATCATATTAGCAGACAAAAATCTGATGAGTCACTTCCAGCCATGCCAAAGGTAGTAACTGCAGATATGATTGGCAAACTTGAAGAGATGGAGAATAGACAAGAAACAGAAGACTCTGCTATGCAGAAGAACTTAGAAAGGCAGGATTCACAGCAGAAGTTGAGTGTTCATATTAGCAGACAAAAATCTGATGAGTCACTTCCAGCCACGCCAAAGGTAGTAACTACAGATATGAGTGGCAAGCTAGAAGAGATGGAGAATAGACAAGAAACAGAAGACTCTGCTATGCAGAAGAACTTAGGAAGGCAGGATTCACAGCAAAAGTTGAGTGCTCATACCAGCAGACAAAAATCTGATGTGTCACTTCCAGCCACTCCAAAGGTAGTAACTGCAGAAATGAGTGGCAAGCTAGGTGAGACAGAGAATAGACAAGAAACAGAAGACTCTGCTATGCAGAAGAACTTAGAAAGGCAGGATTCACAGCACAAGTTGAGTGCTCATATTAGTGGACAAAAATCTGATGAGTCACTTCCACCCACACCAAAGGTAGTAACTGCATATATGAGTGGCAAGCTAGAAGAGATGGAGAATGGACAAGAAACGGAAGAATCTGGTATGCAGAAGAACTTAGAAAGGCAGGATTCACAGCAGAAGTTGAGTGCTCATATTAGTGGACAAAAATCTGATGAGTCACTTCCGCCCACACCAAAGGTAGTAACTGCAGATATGAGTGGCAAGCTAGAAGAGATGGAGAATAAACAAGAAGCAGAAGACTCTGCTGTGCGGAAGAACTTAGAAAGGCAGGATTCACAGAAGAACTTGAGTGCTCATATTAGCAGACAAAAATCTGATAAATCACTTCCACCCACACCAAAGAAACAACAACCTTCAAATGGAAAAACAGCTGCAGATTTATCTCCTACAAAACAAAAAATTAAACAGCCAGAACATCAGGGCAGTATTGCAAGGCAGGCAAAGCCAAATACGGTGTCTCGGTGGATTCTTCCTGACAAATCTTACACTAATTCAATGTATGTACCTTATCCACCATCAAGATATAACAGCGCACCTCCTGCACTGGCCCTTGAAAAGGATTCTCATGCAGATGGAAAATCGAAGGCTTCTGCTGCTAATGATGCCTCTGGAGCTGTGGTTGCAACTGATGATACTCCTGAATCTGGAAGTCATATGGTGGTTTATTGGAGAAATGCAGACAGTGAACCACTGAAACCCATTTCCTATCCACCGTCTTTGCATATGCCACCACTTCAAGTTGCTTCTTCTCCCTCTTCAACTTCAACACTTAAAGTTGTTCCCCCTCCCCCTCCCCCTCCCCCTCCATCTTTCAAAAACTCTTCAAATGTCCTTTTCCCACAGGATCCTGCAATACTTCCACAAGCAGTAGCAAGGCAAGCCTCTCCACCTTCTCCAGCTTCCCCTCCACCCCCCTTTTCTAGCTTTTTATTGCATACTTCTTCGTCTAAATTTTCGTTGCCACCTGCTTCCACTATGCAAGTGAAAGCAAAGAGTATTCCCCCACCTCCTCCACCACCCCCACCACCACCATCGTCTACTAAGGTGCACCTTCACCACCAATGTTGTGGGAAGTTTTATTTTCACACGCCAAGTTATTTTATTGTATATATTTTTTTCAATATATATACTTAGTAATTTAATTATTTATTTTTATTTTTATTTTACAAACCAATTGTTTCAATCATACCTTTAAGTCATATCTTGTGCACACACTATCTCAACCGTCTTTTTACACACCTATTCAAAATTAAAGAGTAACGATCTGTCTTATTTCGATTCACAATATGAAGACAGTGAAGGAAACTTCATTGAATAGACTGAAGACCTGAGTGACACCCTCCATTAAAGAATCTCCATTGACAATAATTTCATTGAAGACCCTCATTCTCCATTGGACACTCTGGTTCCAAAATCTGTTAAGGTTGACTAATACTTTGTTTCGATTTCACTATCGCATTTGGTACCATTTCATTTTCTCTGTCGAGTGCATTGACAAATTAGAATAAACCCTTGTTTTTTCCTTGAAGAGTTGTGATTTTGAGAATTTGACATTGGTTTTTCGAAATTAATTTTTTAATTTGACACTTGGTTTCCGAAATAGATTGATTTGTTCGACAATAGTTCTGAAATATATTGGTTTGTTTGACACTGTAGTTCTGAATAAAATATAATATTTTAGCATTGGTTTTTCGAATTAATCATGGAGGAAAAAAAAACTTTTGCATGAGAACACTAACATTTGCATTATTGCTTTGTTGTTACCAGGCATATTTTTACTGGATTTTGACCTTCCATTGATATGTAACTCTTTCATAACAAAACAATAATAATTGTGGAACTAATGAGAAAACAATAAATAATAGAGTATAAACCACAATTACAGTTTCTCTAATTCCTTATAGTTATTGAGTTGTGGTTCAGTATTGTGGTCAAGGTCATTTACTGTTGTTTGGTTCTGTAATGTGCATCTGTTTTTTCCCATTTGCTGAGACATAGACTGGATAGTGGAAGCCAATACATATAGTTCTAAGTCATGGCGTTTGAAATGTGATTGTACCTCTTACTTTTGTTATTTGTTATTAGCCCCCTTGTAACTCACTGATGTTGTACCCTCTATCCTAGTGCGCCAGAATTTGATGTGTCAGAACTTGAGACTCTTTTCTCTGCCACAGTCCCAAAGTCTAATGCCGGAGGTAAATCAGGAGACCGGCTGAAGCCCGCTGGATCTAAAACTGACAAAGTCCACCTGGTAATGCAAAGTTACTTCAATACTAAATATATATATTTGGTGTAGAAAATTTCCATCTTGGAAGATTTTTATTCTGTGAAAGATGATTACTTAAATTTTTTTTGGAGAAAGTTGTAGCAATAACATGATATGGTTCTCATAGTCTGTCCTGTTGCAGTTTTGTTGTTTGTTGCCTTATTAGTGACTCATTTAACTTATTCTTGTGATTTGAGTCCAAATATCATGCTTTGTGAACTAGATTTTATAAATAATTATGTTTGTCTGTCAGTTACACCCACATTCGCATACACATCTAATGTTATAAAATGAGAACAATTGATTTATGCAAAGAATAGTTGCTGTATAACAACCTAGTCAACCAATCTATTAGTTGGTGAATTTGAAAATATATTGATTAATTGATATGGCTAAATAAGGTTCTGACAGAGACATGCGATGATGCTTGGACTGAGATGAATTGATGTAATACTGGTAAACTGATGCTCCCATCCCCTGCCCATGCCATATCACTTTTAAATCTTCTTGATAGAAATACCTTTCTCCTTATCTTTCCCTTTCAATGTGAGAAATGAGTTTTTTGGTTAATCCAATGAAATTTATACTGCATGATGTCCATCCCAGTGCTTTTATGTGTGTGTAAATCTTGCATATTTTTTTCTGGTAGACTTTTTGATCTGTCGTCTTGTAAACACTTCTAATGCCTACACGTTCTAATGCCTACGCATTTTGTTGCTTCCTTGTTTGATCTCCAGTGCTTAGGGGATTTGTTGGCGGCAAAAGTGATTTTTTGTTATTAGTTGCATGCATGCCCATATTGAGGAATTGTATTTGCAGAGTTGATATGTTTTGTTACTTTGGTTGCTGTTTTTTCCATACAGGATCATCACGATATTGTTTTTGCCCTAAAATAGGGGAATCTGCTGATACTTGATACAATGCTAACATATGAGAGAAGCAATATATATGACCCTAGAAGATTTTCATTTTTCATGTTATTCGCTGATGATCGTGCAGCTAACTATTCATCTTTCAGAAAATTGATCCTCATAGCAGTATCATGTTAGCAAGATTATTTTTTTAATATATATATTTTTTTGAAGTTCTATAGAACAGGTATTAGACCAGCGATTTTGTATGGGATGGAGTGTTGGACAACCAAGAAACAACACGTAGATAAGATGAGTGTGGTTGAGATGAGGATGCTAAGGTGGATGTGTGGCAAGACTAGACAAGACAGAATTAGGAATGAGTGTATTCGGGAATGGGTAGGAGTAGCACCGATAGAAGATAAGTTGAGAGAGAATCGATTGAGATGGCTTGGTCATATTCAACGGAGACCAATAGAGGCAGCAGTGAAGAGATGCGATTCAGTGACGGTAGATGGAAGTGTTAGGGGATCAGGTAGGCCTAGATTAACATTGGCTAGTGTTGTAAATAGAGATATGGATATACTTAATTTGACTAACGAAATGGCCTTTGATAGAAACGCGTAGAGAAGAAGGATTCATGTGGCCGTCCCCATTTGATGGGACTTAAGGCTTGGCTTGGCTTGGTTTGGTTTGGTTTGGTTTGGTTTATATTGTCTTTGCTAGTGCATTATATCGTTCTTTCTTTTCTTTGTTGATTAATGACCTTTTTCTTTTTCTTTTTTGTATAAATATAATCTATATTAAGATAGCATTAAGGGGATCCAACTCATGTACCAAGAAAAAAAAAAAAAAAAAAAAAGAGCTCACAAAAACAAAAGGCTAAGAGCTATACACTCTTTAGTCCTCACGCCTCCTGACTTTCTTGGTTTCTAAAGAGTCAGAAAAAGACCTAGGTTGGGATTAACCCATCCTGAAAGCCAATTATATAAAATAGCCAACAAGTTGCACTTTAATCTGTACAGTGCCTGCACTATACCTGGAAAGTTCTACTATTCTGTTCTCCTGAAATGATCCACATTAAGCAAAAGAGTGTCCCCTGCTCTACCTTCCACTAACTATGCAGCAACTCTAAAACACTCCAAGGGAAAACCAAAGGCATCCCAAAAATGGTTGGCATCAATGCCCAAAACTCCCTAGCAGCAACACAATGAAGGAGAAAATTAAGGCATAGCTTCCCTGTCTTGCTTGTATAAGCAACACCAATTAAATAAAACTCGAAGTCTTTAATTAGATAATCAATAGTAAGGATCTTCTTGTGTGCCAATGTACACAAAAGACACTACCTTAGTAGGTGCTCCACAATATGACTATCCTATTCAAAGGGAGATATATCCCTCTATCCCCATAAGTGCTTCATAGATAGACTTCATCCCAAATTTAACTTTGTGAATACTGTATGTGATCCTGCTTCTCCCCTACTCCTCTCACTAAATGAGTCAAATGGAGAATCTCCACAAACTCATCAATCTCCCAATCCTGTAAGTTCCTCCTAGGAGTAATCTCCCAAGACACTTGATTATCCACCTTTTTGAACATAAAGTACAATTGAATCATCCTAATCTATGGCAAATTTAAAATAGTAGAAAAAGCTTCTCTTAACCTAGCCGAAGATCCTGTGGCACCAAACTTTCACCATTTCTCCTTCCCAGATACTAAACTAATATGACCCGTAAAGTCACCTGAAACAATCTAGATCCCTTTCCAAAGATCTCTACCATGTGACAAGGAGACATCTGGGGTAGCCCAATCACGCCATGGGGAACGATACTTAGGAGCTACCACCCTTCTCCAATACCTATCCTACTTGCAAGCAAATCTCTTAAACCATTTGCCTAAGAACCTTACTGACTTAATCTTTTAATCCCCAATCCGTCTTCATTAATGTGACCAAACACTCTATTTCAATCCACCAAATGTGTTTAAACTCCTCACCTAACCTTTCCCAAAGGAAATCATTATACAATTTTCTAGGCCTATTACCAAACCAAACTAAGCTTCGTCTCTTAATCAAGTTTGGTTGGCTACATCAATCTTGTTTCGCCAGTTTGCTCTGTCAAAGACTATATGCTCAATTAAATGAAATAAATTCACATCATTTTTTGCTACCACATCTTATGTTAGTTTAGGTCTTTCCCTCCTAACATTTCCATTTATGGTGATCATATCACTCTTCTTTATCGTTGTATCTATAGGTTTTCGTTGTACATGACCAAACTATCATAGCTTGTTCTTTCTCAATTTATCTTTGATTGGTGCTACGCTAACCATTTTGTGAATATATTTATTTCCAATTTTATTTTTCCTAATCTTACTACACATCCATCTAATTCAATAACTTGGTAGGCTTTGCAACTTGCTCTTGATTAAAGTAGACCTCGCCTCTTTAGATAAATGTTATCTCTTCCACCCAGCTAGTCTTTTCTGAAACCACTGTACCACCCCATGCCAAACTTTTTCTCTTTAAAAAAAGACCACAATGGTAAGCAAAGATAAGCAGTGAGAAGTGATCCCACTTTGTATCCAAAACTTATTTGGTTAAAAGGACAGCCAAGTGCATGAGGCTTCCGCTAAAGCGGGCTTGGGAAAGACAAGATGTACTCAACTTTATCCTCATTTTTGGGCCAACAATGTTGGGGACACTGACACTCTTGCTAACATACTCACAAGCCTTGGTGGGGCCCAAAATTTACTTGGTATGAGACCCACACAAAGCTTGTGAGTGTGCTAGTCTCTCTAACTTTTCTCTTTCTAGAGAGATTTGTTTTTGTGACTGAAACCTGTATTATCAGGGATGCTAATTGCAAGCCTTATCATTAAGCCAAAATGCCCTTTCAGTATCGTGATGCTTACTACATAAAAGTTTGATTAGTTGTAGTGCTCCTTATATGTGTTCTCTCTGAAAATAAATGTCTACACACAATTAAATTATTTTATTTTATTGATTTTTTTTTGAACAATGACTTGAAAGTAATGGATGGTTTCAAAACAATTTGTCACAATTTATTCCTCAAATATTGTTAGTAGTTTTGCAATTTGATGCTTATTTCTTCTTCTCTTTAGTATGTTATTGACGAATGTTCTTCTTTGCACATTGTAGGTTGATTTAAGGAGGGCCAATAACACTGAAATTATGCTCACAAAAGTAAAGATGCCGCTTTCTGACATGATGGTAAGGTTAACATAATCAAACTTAATAATTTGTGTACATGGAACCTTATTTCTCTCTTCATCACAAATAAGGTGCTTGGCATGGCATTTTCTTGGAAACTTACGTACTGGATTTTTGAGGAAATCTATACAGATGGTTTCTATTAATGAGGTAAAGATTTTTTTTGCATAAAACAAACACAATGATACTTACTCTTGGGCATACATTACAGATAACATATCAAATTTTGGAAGTAAATCCATTTGCATTTCATGTTTTGGAAATGTAAAATAGAAACTTGCATGCACCCATGAATGCAAAATTGGGTTGACATGATAATTAGCCAGACTATCATTGATTGATAATAGGCATCTTGTTACATTATTTAACAAACTAGCCTCTTTTGTGGATAACTTTATGCATATTACTGGAGATTAAATAGTTATAGGCAGTATCTAAAGAAAGTACTGCAATCATGGTAAATGTGTTACATTGCCATGTTCCACAATGATAAATAGGGCAGGATCTTATGTGGTTTTGTTCGAGCTAGAAGCCTAGTCAAGTGCAACCTGTAGTGCTATCATTTACCCAGGCTTGAACTTATGCTTATGGTTCCTAGTGCCACTTAATTAATTTTTGTTTGGCTCAAGTTGCCCAAAAATAATTCGGGCTTAGTTGGGTTTGGTCATGACCACTTAATTGCTTGCAATCTTACATGGTTACACCCTAACCTCACACGGTTCCCAGTGCCACTTAATTAATTTGGGTTTGGCTCAAGTTGCCCAAAAATAATTCGGGCTTAGTTGGGTTTGGTCATGACCACTTAATTGCTTGTAATCTTACATGGTTACACCCTATATTTCTGTTGTTTAAATGAAAATTTAGTCCCATGTATAAGATCCAATGGCCGTGGGAGAAAAAAAAAATTTGATTGATTTAAATACTAAGTTACACACAAATGTTATGTGGGTACACATATGTTGTATGTGTATAGGAAGTTGGGACAGGGTTGCTTGATGCCTATGTCTAACCTTGACTTGAAACTTAATTCAGACTGAAGAATTTCATCACCGTTGCAGCTTGACAACAAAAAAATCTTTCAGTCCAAAAAAAAAAGAAAAGGTTTCTGGTTGCTTTGGTTCATATTGCGTGAGATGCAGCTCTGTGATTAGAGCACCTATAAGTTTAGGTTGAGTTGAAGTCTGTGATTGGAGCCTTGGAAACTGGTGTTTAAGAGAATAGAGGAAGAAGGAATAGATGAAATGTGACAGAGGAGAAGAAAATATTTGGGAGTACAGGGTGGGGGATGGTTATTACATTTTGCCTGTTTGGGCTTTCATGACTAGTATCAAAATTTTGTAGTATCTATTTGAATGCTCATACAATATTATTCAAGTCATGTGGATCATTTATGTGATTCAAGTTATATTCATTACACAATTGTATGCATTCTAAATAGGTCAATCAATTTAGCTGTTTAGTTCAAAACAATTATTTTGAAAACATCTTAATGGTGAAGAGAAAGAGTTAGAGATTGCTTTTGCTTCCTCAACCAGAAAGTCTTTTAAGAATGCTTAGATTTTCTGGGGTTATAATTTTTGTATTCTTGATTTTGCATTTGAAGGCAAATTAGGAATTCAAATGAGAAGGACACATGTTATGAACTTGAAATCTGTGAATTGGAACTTAGAGCCTGAAATATGCACTGTGCACAGGGAAAACATATGTGAAATAATCTTCATTAAACTAAAGAACGGAAGTGCATGTCGATATGTGCAACTACGTGTTTTTCATGCTACACGGATCGGGTATGTGTGTAGGTGCAGCTATATCTCAAAGCAAAGATTTAAATTCTTTTTTCAAGGATTTCATCTCATTTCCAAGAGGTATAATGTTTTGCCAAACATAGAGCATTAAATATGGTTGCTTCTCTCATTTTGTAGCAACCATATCCCAAAAGTACATGTTAATGATGTTTTACGTGCAATTATTTAGTAAACTTCAATCCCATGAGCATGTTTGCTTGATGCATATCCAACGATACATGTTGGACACATACCTCTTATCCTTATCCAAGGGTCTCATGTTTGACATGGGTACTTAATGCATTTAGAAGAGCCTATGTAAGTGTGACATAGATTTTTGTACACTCATATGATTTGGCATCCTCTAGCATCTAAACACATTATTAACACATGCAATGCAATACCATTTCATAATCTGAAAGATATCTCATTTAAGTTATGGTTCTAGATGTCACCAACACGTTAACAAATACTCCCTCTGTCCCATTTTATTGGTCCACTTTTCCATTTTAATTTGTCCCTAAATGTTTGTCCACTTTCTATTTTGGGATACTAAATTTTGTTAGATTTCCGAAATTGCCCCCTATAAATCATTATAAACACATTTTAAAATTTAAATAAAAGGGCAATGGTGGGAAAAATATTTCAAAATTTGAATTAAAATGTAATGATTACACATCTCCTTAATAAGTTGGATTTTCTATAATGGACAAATAAATTGAGACAGAGGGAGTAAATTATAAATAACATTTCGAATCAAGATTAAATGAGAAACAAATTTGGTTTTTAATGTGGAGGAAAATGGAAATTACTTGTTACTATTTACTTTGTTGATATTCAATATTTTTTGTAAACTTGGTTTTTATTCCGACAAGTTCAATGTGTAGTATGAAAATGTATTTCTTAATACTCTCTAGGATACTTTATTTGTCATTGATGTTGGTTGGTGTTTTTCTTCAAATATTAAGGCTTTTCCCTTTCAATAAGAGGACTAACTACATTTATGCTTGACTTCCGCAGGCTGCAGCACTAGCAATGGATGAGTCAATTTTAGATGCTGATCAGGTGGAAAATCTTATAAAATTCTGTCCTACTAAAGAAGAAATGGACCTTCTTAAGGTGATGCTATATCATAAAGCATCATGCGCTTCATATTTTGTTATCTGTATTGTCATTCCTATGACATGATATGGATTTCTGCTGTGTAGAAGTGGTTTGAATATTTTAATTTGGTCATTGTTTTTTTCCCCCTTTGCTTTTGTATTGATTTTCATATTTTATGACTGTTTAGGGCTACACTGGTGACAAGGAGATCCTGGGGAAATGTGAACAGGTCTGTAAACCAGATCAGATACTCTGCTATTTGTTGATTATGGTAGTGTTCAGAAGATTTGTGGACTATATAGATCTGAATGTTTAGACAAGGAAAAAGTGTTCTCTGTGGTGCATCAATGAATAATTTTTCCTTGACTAAATTGTGTGGACACTATGAAATTTGATTTGGTCTTGTGTAGCTGTATATGATGTGTATTTATCTGTTTACTCGACGACTTTAAAAGTCTTAAATGTTGTCTTCTTTCTTTTTTTTCTTTTTTTTTTTTTTTCTTTTTATGATTTTGCTAATTTAAGTTCAGAAGTAAAGTTTATATGTTGATCTCTCTCGTTCTCACCCACTCTCACATTATATGTACATATATCTGTCCCATCCTGTGTATTTAATGTATCGCTTCTTTTTTACGTTCTTTAAGGTTATAAAAGTGAATCCTTTGTTTGTATTGTGACTCATGAAATCTCATTTTAGATGTTTTGTCTGTGTCCCTATTATTGTTATTATTTATATTATTTTCGGCAAGCATCTGTTTGTTATCTTTTCCCTCAAGGTTCTTGGATATGATTTTATTATTATTATTTTAAAATTTCTAGTTGTCATGGACTCTTTAGGTCTAGGGTAACTGTTGGTGAATTCCAGTGTGCACACTGCCTTCTTGCATGTTTGCTGTGATACTTGAATTGTTTTTTGGGTAGAAAGAGTGCATCCCCTTTACTATTTTATAAGGGAAAAGCCTTTTAATGGTGTACCTGTTGATGTGGCCTCATATACTAAAGTTAAAAAGTACTTAGAAAAAAAAAAGTAAAGCAAAATATTGGGTAACTAATGTTTTAAGGCAAATAGTGCAAGGAATTATTACATAAGAACCTGCTTTCTTTGATAGTGTTAGAGAATCCCCGTCTTTAGTACCTAACAACTAAGCAACATTATTGTTGAGTTTAAAAACGAAGAAGAAAATAAAAAAAGGAAACAAAGACAAAAAACAATGCAATTATGGTGCTCCCTATTTGGTGTTTTGACAATGCATGCACCCATTTATTGTAAGGAGCTTGAGGTATCTATGGTGAAAATTTTGTAGTGTTATTGATGTTTTGAGAACTGGAAGAGATGAACCTGAAAGGCGACAGGTTCTTGCCTTATAACGGAAATAAAGGGTGGAACATGGGATTTAGCTGCCAAAAAGATATTATGCATGGTCATCTTTGTTGGAGGAGTGGGATTCAATATTATGGAAATTAGTAAAATATAGGAATTTGGTATGTAGTATTAAGGTTGGAATGATCACGGAGAACATTTTTGTTATTTTTGGTTGTAATTGGAATTTGGAAAATGTGGAAAATTACAAACCATTAGAATTGGAAGATTTCAAAAAACTCAGGCCATATGGGGGAGCTGTGTAATAGGTTGGCAATGTAGAATGTAATTGTTTACAAGATTTTTTCTTGGATCCAATTTGAGTACTGTTTATTGTTTATGGGAAATCTATTTTTTATCCATTTGTAGCTTACAAGAGATTACTTTTGGTTCTAATTTGAGCAAACCCTAGTTCTTTATTTTCATTAATAATATTCATTTTGGCCCTTACGGCTTCACCATCTTGAGATGTTTAAATTATAGGTGGTGGGAAGGTTGGCTTTCTCTGGGCTCAAAATTTAGGCTTGGTTTGGCATAACCTAAAAAAGCCAAAAAGTCAAAAAGTCACTATCCTATTTAAATCACTTCATCTTATTTAAGTCACGTCACCTCTCTACCACATCACTTCAAACGCAACCCATATTTCATAAAAAGTCAAAAAGTGCACTTATTTAGTTTATCCCAAACAACCCCTTAATCTACTCTTGTTTTGGTGGGTAGCTTCATGGTTGTCAAATCAAGAAGCATATCTTGAATCGAAATCTTAATTTTTTGAATTGAATTGAGAATTGTTAGATTCGGTACAAATTTTTTTAAAAAAATAATGATATTAAACAGTCGTCTTCATGTAAAAAATAAAATAAGTTGATTTTGACACATGTTATGCAATAGTTCTTATATTAGAACATGATTACACTATCTAATTTGTAAGCATTACCTTCATAGAAAGTGGTATGGGTCCATATCCCACCAACCATAATTTATGTAAAAGCTATAAGATATTCTCTTGATACTAAAAAAAGATGGACCTAGAAACAATAAAGAGAGTGGAATAAGAAGAATGAATAAGTGAAAATCCTTTATTTCAAAGAGTGCTACTATTTACACCTACTTTATTTCTTTGGACCCCCCATGCTTTCTTTTGCTTTTTTTTTTTTTTTAATTTCAAATTGCCCAAATATAAAATTTAATTTCTACCCTTATCCTTAACCTTCAACCCTAATGTCCCAAACCCTAACCCTAATTCCACCGGCCATCCCTATCACATCCAGCAGTCGCCGCTCACCCTCCCGTCGTCTCCAACATAGGCTGTCCACCTTCCCGTCACCTCCATCGTTGGCCGTTCATCTTCTTCAATTGTGAACCCTAGCCGCTGCCACTACAATAGTGATCTCCATCCCCGACGTTGCGATTGTGATCGCAGGCCGCCACTCTGTTGCCTTACCACCATTGTAGCCCCTACCATGCAGCCCCCTACCCATCGCGACCCTGTCGCTCCCTCCAAACACCACCTCCATCCCCTTTTTTAAACACAGATCTCTCTTTCTCTCTCTCTGTGTGCATGGTGGGTCACTAGGGTTTGGGGGCGCAATGGTGGTGCTCACGGAGTGGTGGGTCATTAGGAATGGTCGCTGAAGTGATGGAGTTGGGAAGGCAACAACGGAGTAACGGGCTGGAAAAACAATGACGATGGCAGCAGAGTGACGGGGTTGGGAAGGCGACAACGGTGGAGTGATGAGTTGGGAAGGCGGCGGTGGGGCGGTGGAGCAACGATGGTGGCTGGCGGTGAGAAAAGGTTATCAAAAGATGAGTTGGGGGTTCAAAGAAGAGGGGTATAGTTGGGATTAAAGTGGGGGTTCAAAGAGAAAATGGGAGGGACTCAATTAAGTGGGCAGGGGTTCAAAGAAGTGGGGGTTCCAAAGAAATAGGGTAGAGGTAAATAGCAGCACTCTATTTCAAAACCTAAAATGCTTTAACAAGTGTGTGTTCTTATTTTTTAACCAAAAAAAAAAAAAAACTTATAAAAAAACTATGGAATATTTAACTTCACTTTACCCTATGTGGTTTAGGCCATGTGCGGTTTACCCCTAACGTTTGGAAATGATTACGTAACTCCCATGTAGTTTGTGGACTGAAGTGTACCTTTAAATATTTTGTCCAATTTAACTACAAGTGTGAAACACGTGACAGACATAAGGGGGTAAATTGCACATGGAATAAAGCACAAGGGGGCAAAGTGCACTTTGCCTTCCAAACAAGTGATGAAAATATTCATAATTCACACGCTTAAGTTACTTATATACAAGGATATTTGAGTATTTTTTTTATTAAATCATTAACGGGCTTAACGGTGCATTTCAGTCCACGAGCCACGTGGGGGTTATGTGGTCATTTCCAAACGTTAAGAGGTAAACCACATATGGCCCAAAAGTGAAGTTTGTCCTAGTTAGTAACTGACCTGTCCCATTTCGTATTGAACCATGTTTGTTTCACCAAAATATCAATAGATTATTCATAGGTGCAAGTTACTTTAACCTTAAACATCCTTAGAAAATGTATTTAACATTTTTTTGATGAAGAAAAAATAAGAAAATAAGTCAAGAACCTATATTGGGTATGACTGGATGTGATTGGGTCCTATTAAACCCCATGATCACCAATTCATAGGTCTTGATTATTTTCATACTAAACAATCTTGTAAATTGTATTATGACATTTTCACCAAACAAAAGAGGCAAAAAGATGTCAGAATTTGTGTGGCCCAATAGTTTCATGTATCACATGAATTGTAAAACGTGAATCGAATTGTGAATTATGTGTTTCACCATCAATTTCATTTCAAAATAAATTCGGCCATAGATTCACATCGATCTATGCATGAATATTCTGAATTGTATCATGAATAATAAGATTTTACTAACAGAGGATAGCTTATAAACAAAAATCTTGTTTTGGTGGATGAGGCTACAATGGCATATTATGTGATGTTATATCTGTTTTTATGATTTGAGTTGCTCGAAAAGATGTTTAGGTTATGTTTTTGTGAATTATAACTTTGAAAGAGCTATTACATATATATATATATATTGGGTCAGCATAAGAACATCAGGAATACATCTTTATAGGGGACTGGGTTAGGGCCAGGGACTGGAACACTGCTGGTGAACATGGCACGTGAAGTCTCTAAGCAACTGGAGCAGTTGGCCGCTCTCTAGGTGTATTCTTTGAACATGAATTCTAAAATAGAATTCTTGGGAGTTAAAATTGAAGTCCATGGCCCATACTGTGAAGGACCTGTTTGCTTCTTGGAGTTGGGATTGTCCAAGAGGAAGATGTAAGAAGGCTTGGGAGACTGCCCCTTTGTGTGTTTTCTAGTGTTTATAGAGGGAGAGAAATAGGAGATCTTTTGAGAATGTGAACTTGATGCAGTGCTTGAAGGGCAGGTTCCTCATCTCCCTTTACTTTTGGCAGAGATATTTTTTCCCTTTTGCTTTAGTTTCCTTTTGAGCTTCTGGGAAACTGTATATTACTGTAGAGATATAGTGGCTTAGCTTGTTGAGGTATACTTCATATGTAAAGGGCTGGCACCCCTGTTTTTGGCGCCGCCTCTAATAGATTTTACTTATAAATAAAACCATCTAATATTGTTGTTACCTAATCTTATTCTTGCACTTTGTCCCATTCAGTTCTTTTTGGTGCTGATGAAGGTGCCACGTGTGGAGTCTAAACTAAGAGTGTTTCTTTTCAAGATTCAGTTCAATTCTCAGGTCTGGATCTAACGATTTTGTTGGTTCTTCTTGGAGTATTTCTTAAATTTGCATTTGTCTCAGTTGTCAAATTCTTGACATCTGTTGCAGATATCAGATTTTAAGAAGAGTTTAAACACTGTGAACTCCTCATGTGAAGAGGTATTCCACCGGTAACAAAGCTTTTCAAGCAATAGCGTCATTTTGTTTTGATCTAATATGGTTTTCACTGATTTGTTAGGTTCGAAATTCCCTCGAATTGAAGGAAATCATGAAGAAAATCTTATTTCTGGGGAACACATTAAATCAAGGAACTGCGAGAGGTAATGACCTTTATATTGATTCAGAACTAAGTAGTATGGGCACGGGCACGATATGGACACAATGACACGGCAGTTTTCAAAACTGCAAGACAGGATATGCCCACGCATTAAAAATTTATATTTTTATAAATTTACTATACATCAAATATATGAATAGTTTATTCAAAGGTAATGAAAATTGAAGTACCATAACAATAATTAAAATTATTAACCATATATTCTATTACTTAAACATCAAGATATCATTCGTGTAACAATTTCATTCTAAATAATGCAAAACAATTGTAGAATATTGAAATACACATGATGTATTCATCTTACAACTATTTCAAAACATATTTAAAATGCGCAAATTGCATTTCAAAGAATGCAAAAACATTGTTATTATGATGAGATTAATCACATCACATAGGTTGTGTTCGGAAGGTTCAGGAAATATTGCTGAATGGTCTGCAAAATGTCCGATATTGCGAATTTAAAATTTTAATTAAGACACATTGAAGAAGTGTTGGACTCGCTTTTAGGAGTGTCCACAGAGTGTCTATGTTCGACACGTCATGCCTCCTCGATAGAACTGTTTGTGCTTCTTAGATTCAGAGCTCTCATGAAATTTCATTTTGTAGCTTCTCTGCAAATTGAAGGGGTTTCTTCCGTCTTGCTCTGATTAGGGCTTGTATAACCCCTTAGTTTATGTGTATCCTAGTATTTGAAAAAAAGAAAAAAGTGCATCCTAATTTATTTGCTTATGAAAAATAAATAGGAAAGAAACTTGAGTTTTTCACCAATGATCAAGAAGAAGAGCAGAACAACAACAAAAGAGCATTACTAATTTTCAAGTGCGTTCTTACTTATGATGCTAGAATAACATTCTGCAGTGCAGAACCTGAGGCTCTTTAAGTATCTGTATTCCAGTTAGAGGATGTGACTTGAAATTTATGTTGATTTAATTGTTTCTTGTGTTGAATTGCTGAGGTTAATATACACCTGTACAAGCTGCATACATCATATTGTATTTTGATAATCCTTATCAATCATGGCGAGGACCATATGGCCGGTCACTTATTGGGTCCTATGTGAGGGTCTATTTAGTGACCTATATATATGTAGAAGACTCGAGCAATCTGTGCCTCTGAATTCTGACCTCAATACTTTGATCATTATATGCAAACATTGGAGATTTCTTGCAAACAAATGTGATATATGTATTTAGTGAATTGACTTTGTCTCCTTGTTCATTACTAACTTGTAAGTTACACTCAATTTGATAGTGCAAATTTGGTAGTTTCTATAGCTTTGTCAGTTCCAGTAGAGGTTTATTAAATGCTTAAAAGGAATTATTTAGATTTGTTAATTAACATTGCAAAGGAGAAATGGAAAAAATTCTCATAGCTGCTCTAATGTTGCAGTAAAGAATACATAATACAATGGTCAAAATAAACAACGATATAAGCTCTAACAAAAAAGCGAAGCAAAAGACTAAACTACCCAAAACTCTAATATGATACAAGAATATATATCTTAACATCCCCCTCAAACTCGAGAGGTGACGGTACAAATCAGTGAGAGTTTCAAAGAAGGAAGCAGAAGCGCAGAACAGCGTGGGATTTAGTGAAAAGGTTAGCTAACTACGTAGTGGAGGAGACAAAAAGGTAAGGATATAGGCTATGGCACACAAAATGATAATCAATCTCAATATGTTTAGTGACGGTGTTGACTAACAGAGATCAAATTCAATGATAATTAGAGGGATACACATGAGAAAGAGATAGTTAAGCAGTTATAATGGAATCAATACTTGCCATGGGCATGTGAGTGCCATTGGCAACCATAACAATAGAAGAGAAAAGAGGAGAGAAAGTAGAGAGGAACAAAGAAGGATTGTCAGTCTTGGTGTGTAGAACCAGAAGAAAATACATAAGTGCAGTGAGATATACCTTGAGGAGTTAATGAAGACAAACCTATAGGTGAAGAATTAGGTAAGCTAAGGCATTTGTAGAAAGAAGTTTATGTATTGGATTCAACTGTTTAGCAATAAGAGTCAATGAGGGGACTAATTGGGACAGACCCTCTACAGATGGTGTCTTCTTCGAAGTCTGCTGTTTTCCACATTTCTGACTACCCAAAAGTTTAGGGCACTGGGCCTTTTGTTGATTTTTGTGATGAAAAGAATTGCACTCATCAACAGCTATGAAAGTGTTCTTTTTGTACTGTCTGACAAGTTTTAGGACCAGACTAGGTAAAGGAAGTAATCCCTTTTACCGTAAAGCCGTAAAACAAATGTCTTCTGCCATGGTATCAAATATGAAAATAAAGCAATAAATAGACTAATTGAAGCCACAGTTTTTTTTTTTTTTTTTTTTTTTTTTGCTGTTTTCCACATTTCTGACTACCCAAAAGTTTAGGGCACTGGGCCTTTTGTTGATTTTTGTGATGAAAAGAATTGCACTCATCAAGAGCTATGAAAGTGTTCTTTGTGTACTTGTCTGACAAGTTTTAGGACCAGACTAGGTAAAAGAAGTAATCCCTTTTACCGTAAAGCCATAAAACATATGTCTTCTGCCATGGTATCAAATATGAAAATAAAGCAATAAATAGACTAATTGAAGCCACAGTTTTTTTTTTTTTTTTGGTGAAGCCAGAGGTTGACTTGTTAAAGCAGGGAGTCAACTTGTCAAAGCAAGAGGTTGAACTAACTGTGTCAGAAGATTCAAAGTGCAAGGATGTGGATCCAAGTAAGGTATGGCTTGAATACTGGTGTATGTATCAAAGGGGAAGAAGACTGTGAAGGAGATAGGAAGATGATGGAGTGATCTGGGTTTGAACTTTGAAGGCGAGAATCGGATGGGTGCAATAGGGGTGAAGATCAATTGGGATGCAGCAATGAACCAGATTATTCATGGCAGAGAGTTCATTGACTGTGGGTGCAAACAGATGAGACTAGGGGTCTGCTGTTTGGCTGAGACTGGATGCTGGTGTGAAACAGGGCTGTGATGAAACAGGTGCAATGAGATTCAAAGAGGCTTCAACTAGTCTGGGTTCAAGTCGCGAGGTGAGATCGACTGGTGTGGGAATGATGCTGGTTCGAGATAGATTGGGGACAATGGTTGAGGAGTATAGCAGCAAGGTCAAAAGACAAAATGCCAAGGTTCGAAGCTGTTTAATGACCTTGCTGTCATACCATGTTAATTAACATTGCTTAGGAGGAAGAGAACAAAACTCTCATAGCTGCTCTCATGTTGCTTAGAAGAAAGTTGGACAATATTGGCTTACCCTAATTTGGGTGAGACCATGTCTATTTATAATCAATATAAGATACATAGGAAAAATGAATTAAATAATTACACAATCAAATCCTAAAATTCATATCCCTAAATAACCGTAGTTTATAGAAATCACGGGATCTCCTAAATATACAATATTCTGTATTCCAACACTCCCCCTCAAGCTAGATCAAAGATGTCAACCAAACCCAGCTTGTTAATGGAAGATCGAAGTAGGGATGGTCCGACAGATTTGGTGAAGATGTCGGCAGTTTGATCAGAAGATGGAACAAACGAGGGAGATACAATGCCAACTCGAACCTTTTCCCGGATGAAATGAATATCAATTTCAATATGCTTAGTACGCTCATGAAGCACAGAGTCAGAGGCAAGTAAGATGGCAGACTTATTGTCACGAAATAGCTTGGAGGAATTATTCTCCTCAAAGCGTAACTCAGTAAGAATGGACCAAAGCCATAGTAATTCACATGTCCCATGAGCCATGGCTTGGTACCCAGCTTCAGCAGATGATTGAGAAACAACTGCTTGGTTTTTGCTTTTCCATGATAGAAGATAGGTACCAAGGAAAGTGCAATACCCCAGAAGTGGAACGTCTGTCAGTCAATGAACCTACATAGTCTGCATAAGTAAAACAGGACAATCCTGTCTGAATCCCACCATTGAAGAATAAACCCAAACCTAGACATGACTTGAGATATCCTAAGATGTGGTGAATAGCATCAACGTGAGCAGTACGAGGTGAATGCATAAACTAACTAACCACACTTACAGCAAATGTCAAATATGGTCGTGTATTAGTCAAATAGATCAAACGTCCTACCAATCTCTGGTAGCGAGATGGATCAGAAAGCAACTCACCTGACTCTGTCGAAAGTTTCAGATTTGGATCCATAGGAGTAGATGCAGGCTTGCACTCTATCATACCGGTGTCCCGAAGAAGATCCAAAGTATACTTCCGTTGGGACAATGGTATCCCACTGTGAGAACGAGCTACTTCAATCCCCAAGAAATATTTGAGAGGACCCAAGTCCTTGATGTCAAATACTTGACTAAGCTCTTGTTTTACCTTAGCAATACCAATGGAGTCATCTCCTGTGAGGATGATATCATCCACATAGGCCAACAAAATGATACATTGACCATTGGGCTGATGACGAATGAAGCATGTATGGTCGGAGTGACACTCAATAAAATCTATGGATAGGATAACAGAGCTGAAACGGTGGAACCATGCACGAGGAGATTGCTTCAAGCCATAGAGAGACTTACGCAGATGACAGACCTTGCCAGCATACTCCTCCTTAGCCTGAAACTCAGGTGGAGGATCTATGTAGATCATCTCAAGTAAGTCCCCATGTAGAAAAGCATTCTTGACATCAAGTTGATGAAGGGGCCAAGAAAAAGAAGCAACCAAGGAAATAAGCAAACGAATAGTGGTCAATTTAGCAACCGGTGCAAACGTAGCCCCAAAATCCTTGCCAGGAACCTGAGTAAAGCTCTTAGCAACAAGACGAGCTTTATATCGGTCCATTATACCATCAACCAAGTATTTGACAATAAAAACCCACTTGCACCCAACAGTCGTCTCATCAGAAGGTAAAGAGACAAGATCCCAAGTGTGATTATACTCCAAAGCAGCCATTTTAGTTTGTAGAGCTGCAACCCACTGGGGATTTTGGAGAGCCTTAAACACAGACCGCAGGATAGAGACCGACTTAAGCTTTGCCAAGAAAAGTAAGAGAAGACAAATGAGAAGCTAAAAGGGCATCATAACATAAAAACTAGAAAATAGGGTGATTAGTACTATTAAACCAACCAAACCAATTAGGGGGACGGTATTCATGGGTTAGATAACGGGAAGGAGCTAGGGAGTGAATAGTAGAGGGAGTACCTAGGCTTGAGGGTGAAGAAGATGCTGGAGGGGGTTGAGCACGAGGGCGACGAGAGTATGTTTGTAATGGCGGAGGACTCTCAGGTGCAGATACAGACGATGAAGAAGGAGCAAATGAATCAATGATAGGAACAAGGCGAGCACTCAGGGACACATCAGGAAGTGGTGCACTCGAGGTAGAATCCTGAAACACAGGGTTAGAACAAAAAAATGGCATGTCTTCGCAAAATGTGACATCCATAGAATGATAAAAACGACGAGACAACGGATCATAGCACCTATAGCCTTTACAGAGAGCTGAATAGCCCAAGAAGATGTATTTAAGAGACTTGTTATCTAACTTGGTCCGAGTAGGACTACGATCCTGAACAAAACAAGTACAACCTAACACACGAGGCACAAGAGGAAATAACACGGTATCTAAACGAAGTAATTGAAAAGGGGCCAACCTGTGAAGAATCCGACTAGGTGTCTGATTAATGAGGTTAACCGCAGTAAGCACAGCCATATGCCCGTAGGATATAGGGACATTCATCCCATAAAGAAGACACCAGACAACAGACATAATATGACAGTTTTTATGTTCGACAATCCCATTTTGTTCAGGGGTATAAGTACAAGTGAGTTGCTGCAAAATTCCTTGTTGATTAAGTTGGGAGCGAAATGCATCAGATATGTACTCCCCTCTATTATCAGAACAAATATTGCGTACAACGGTGTGGAATTGGGTGTTGACCATTTGTAGAAATTGAATAAAAAGTGGAAACACATCAAACTTCTTTTTAAGCAAATAAACCCAAGTACACCTAGAATGGTCATCTATGAAAGTCACATAATAGCGATGCCCAGAAAAAGCCAAAAGAGGAGAAGGGTCCCAAATATCAAAGTGAATAAGGTCAAACATACAGTAGGTGTGATACATGCAAAGAATATAAGAAGTACGAGTATGTTTAGACAGTTCACAAACAACACAATGAAACTGATGATCCTTGCAAGCTTTATTAAGTGACAGAAAAAGTAAATATAAATAATTAAAGTTTGCATGTCCTAAACGGGCATGCCACAAGGCTTAAGTCTAAAAAGAAAACACATAGGAAGACGACTCAGGTAACATAGTTGCTTGCAGGCCAGAAGTGGTAAGATGGAAAGTTGTTGGGGTCTCCGAAGTAGTATAGCCCGTCGCGCTCAAATCCCTTGCCAAAAATCTTCTTCGAAGTCAAGTCCTGTAATAAGCAATGAGTATGTAAGAAAATAACAGCACAATGAAGGTTTTTAGCAAGGCGACTAATAGAGAGAAGATTATAAACAAAACGGGGCACATGTAAGACAAAAGTAAGTGTAATATCAGACGCCAATGACACATCACCTTTATGTTGGACATGTGAAATAGACCCATCAGCAAGACATACAGTCTGAGCGGTAGTAGAGACAGGAGATGATAAACAAGAAAGCTCACCGGTCATATGATGATTGGCCTCAGAATCCAATACCCAAGTAGGTGCAATGCGAACATGAAATGTTGTAGGAGTACCTGTAGCGTGTGTGGCAGTGGAAGGGACACTTGGAGACATGATAGTGAATGAACCAAGTTGCTCTTGAAGGCAATCAATCTGAGATTGAAGCTGATGAAGATTAACAGAATGAATCGGCTGAGGAGTACTAGATGTGTCAGCAATAATAGCAGTATGGGGATGGCCTAAAGGGCGTGTCCTTGCAAAGCGTTGCTTCAACTCGGGATGAAGCTTGAAGCACCGTGCTTGGACATGACCAGCTGTGCCACAATGGTGGCAAATAACCTTGCTACTAGAAGCACGAGAACTAAACTTGGAAGCAAAAGCCATCTGATCTGAAATTGAAGATGAGGCAGGAACGAAGGAAAGAAGCGGAGTCACCGGTTGAATCAATCGACGACGACACTCCTCGTTGTCAATAGCAGCAATAGCCTCATATAAGGATGGCATAGGTGATGTGTTCAAAATCTGAAAATGAAGAGACTCAAATTCAGGTTTTAAACCTATTAGAAATTGATAGGTGTGTTGGCGAGCAAGACAAGCAGACATAATAGGAGCGGCAACAGCTGGAAAATCACTCAATGGCTCATACTGTGCTAACTCCTTCCAGTAAGACTGAAAATACCTAAAAAATTCGGCAACGGTAAAACCCAAAGCTTCCTGAGAGGCATGAGAAACATCCTGATAGAGTTCGAAAATTCTAGCATCATTGTGGGCATGTGCGTACATTTGGGTAAGAGCACTCTACAACCGAGGAACTGTATCACAATACATGAACACATTGTAGATGTGTTCTTCTATAGAGTTGAACAACCAACCATGTAAGGTGCAATTGTTAATATCCCATTGAACCCGCTTAGGATCATTAGTGGGAGGTTGTGTCTCGGTTTCCAGAAGCCATCCAGATTTGCCTCAACCCCCAAGGTAAAGACATATAGACTGGCTCTAAGTAGCAAAGTTGCGACCATTAAGCAATGCACTAGTAATCCAATGAACCAGAACATGGGAGGCAAGGGAAACATCTAAACGAGGCATAATGTTTTGGGTTTGTGTAACAAAGTCAGACATTCTGAAACACCACAAAGCTGAAGTAGCGGCGTCACACAAAAGAGATGCTTCCGAACAAACCGGTAGCCCAAGTAATAAGGAACACACACAGGTTGCTTACTACATCAGTAAAACATAACTCTAAAAGGGTTAGAAACCAGCCCAGACCACCCTAGAAGGATGCCGAATTGCACAGAACCAGGATAGAGCCTGGTCGGCTGCTGTAGGAACCTCGGCAGTGACTGGAAAGGATTGCCGAGGGAGAGAGAAAGGGTTTCGGGTGGTGTAAGGTGGTTGAAAGGGGCTGGGTAGGTGAGTCGGCTACTAGGAAAGGGAGGAGAGGCTAGTGGTGGTGATGGGTAGGTGCAGCTAGGGTTTCTTTGGCTTTGATACCAAGATGAAAGTTGTACAATATTGGCTTACCCTAATTTGGGTAAGACCATGTCTATTTATAATCAATATAAGATACACAGGAAAAAGGAATTAAATAATTACACAATTAAATCCTAAAAATCAAATCCCTAAATAATCGTAATTTATAGAAATCACGAGATCTCCTAAATATACAATATTCTGTATTCCAACATGCTTTAATCCGAAGAATACATAATTCTAGAGAGTCAAAATAAACAATGATATATTTATCAAAAAAAAACAATGATATAAACCCTAATAAAATAGAGAAGCAAAAGACTAAAGTACCCTAAGCACTAATATAATACAAGAATTTATCGTAACAAGATTCGTGTCCAAAGGTCTCACCTTTATACTTCTAAAGTGTTGATGATTACTCAAATTTCCTTTCAGGAATGCATTTGTAAGTATGTTTTTAGGAGACTAGAGATTTTTTGTATACAATGCTAAATATCTTAGTTGCATGAAGCGGGGACGCGAGCACAAAGCGGGGGCAGGGACGGGAGCATAAGCAGGGGGGGGGGGGGCGGAGCGAGGGCATATAGAAGTTTCTTAGGTTGGGAGCGCCTATGGGAGCATGTACATATGGATTTATTAAATATGTAAAAATATTCTAACATTTATTTTTGCTACTTAGTTGTAATATATGTATTAAATATGAATAAATATTAGTAATTCATGTCAACTACAAATTGTCTTTATTTAGTATAAATAAATATTATATAAATAGAAACTACTAGAATAAATTGAAGTTGTTTTTCTTTTGTTTCTATGAGATTTATATGTTTGAGAGGTTTCTCTCTCAATTGGGAGTGAGTTTCTTTCTCAACGGGAGCTAGTAATACCACTCGAGTAGAAGGTTCCTGCTACTAAGCTAAATATGTTAAGGTGAAACAAGAACTTGTGCGGCCTCAATTCTCTGCAACCACTTTTTCCATGTGAAGTACATCACACTACTGTTTTACCACTTCAAACATGTTGCAGAATTTTACTGGGGGTATCCCAATTACATCATAACTTCGTGACCTGCTTTAAAGAAAAAGGCAAAGTAATATACAAGTGGCATAGGATAAGATTGTGTGTTTCAATGAATTTGTTGAAATAAATGTCTATTTTTTTCAGGTTCTGCAGTTGGATTCAAGTTGGACAGTCTTTTAAAACTTACTGATACACGTGCTTCCAACAGCAGGATGACACTGATGCACTATCTTTGCAAGGTATGGCTACCCTATTTTCTCCATCTTGTTATTGAATCAGATCTTTCTGGTAAGAAGTTGTCCATTCTAACTGTGTTAGTTACTGTATTAAGCTCCGAAAAATTTAACAATAAGAGATTTTTTTTGGAACAAATATTGCAAAATTTTATAAATGTTTCTATGACTTGCTGAGAAAATGTTAAGAAAATTGATAAATATATTACCTTTTGGCTCATAACTGTTGGGTTTGAGAGGATGTCTTCATTACAATATTTTAAGGCATGTTCATGGGCTCCATTGATTCTGGAATATTGAAACAAGGGAAAGATGGTTGACACCATAACAATGCAGTGGCTTCATCTTTAGCAATTTCTAGGGTGTTTCTTTGAATTGTTCACCTTTATTTGCCTTGCATTTGATTTTTTGTTTTTTCAAAATTTTTCCCAAGCATTTCCATAGATTTCTAGAGCCTTTTTTTTTTTTTTTTTTTGTAACACTCTTATATTGTTTGCATTATTGAGCTGACCAAATGATGATTCACACACCAAAATTTAATTTTGCGGTGTGTACATCTGGATTAATATTGATCCAATATTTGAAACAATCTGAAATACTACAGACATTAATACGCCCTTTTTATCATGATAATAATAATAATAATAAATCTAATTTTGTCTAATAACATAACCCTATCAAAAACTTCAACTTCAAGATTCTTTTACTCCACTGCAAGGGCTGCTCAGCTTCGAAGTTGCATAGTACGGAGTTGGGACACAGACTACTGTAGTCACATCATTAAACACTTTCCACATCATGGAAAGGGCATGGGATCGATATATGAAACACTAGATTCATCAACTAGCAGTATCCTAATGCTGCATTGATTTTGGCATTCCCTCTTAAGAAGAAATGCTTCCTTAGTAACTATGAGTTCTTCCTCATATCAATTAAAGCTAGGCCCTCATTGAGTGGAGTTTATGTCTGAAAAGGTGAGGGTTTGGATTTTAATTAGTGCCTGCATTTTCGTAGTATTGCAGTGGATATCTTTGCCATCCACATGGAAGTTTAGGTCCTAGTTGGCATGCTTCTGTGTTAGCTGTAGCACCAGAAAATTTGATGTCGACAAAGCCATTGGGTCCGATAGGGTAACAATGTTTCTCTAAGAAGTGGTAATGTTAAAGTGGTTTTAAGCCATGTACATGAGGTTGGGGGGCTTGACAAAAACCTTCCCTTTCTAGTTTGAGAAAAAACATTTGTGGTGTTAGTTCCAGAAAAGGGAGGGGCAATGGACAGTGTAGGCTGATTGGTGGCCAGTGTACGTAAGCTTTCGGCTATGGCAATGACCCATAGCTGCATCAGCACAAACCCAGGACACAAGGTGAACACGATGCAAGGACATTGATGCTGCAAACTTAGAAAAGCTAGGACCTGAGGAGGGGGAAGAAACAACAATATGTAGTTGTATGTTTCTATAAAACTAGCTTGGCCTTCATGTACCTATGGTATGTGGAACCCTTGTTGCAGACATATTTAGCAATTAGGTAAATATCAATGTGAATATATTGCTAAATTTGAGAGAAAAAGAGCATAGTATTATTTGATCTAAATCTAACCTTTGACATTATTTGCACATAGTGGTTGCTCTTAAACTTGAAGTCAAGTCATCATACGTGGCTTGAGTTTTTACCATGGCACCAAAGCAATGCTCCTTCCTTATTTCATACATTTTTATTATCTATATTTATTCTTGTTTTGGACTAGGGGCATGATATATTTTTTTCTTATGAGATTCGTATATATAGGCTGCAAAAAGTGAAAATAACACTAGGAAAAAATAATAAAAATTGCATTGAAGAAAAATTTGAGGTATTTCACATGTAAGTGTAGTTGCTGTTAAAAAATTCTTATATTGGGACACTTATTGTTCTCGTCATAAGCTATTAGACTTTAGTTATATCAAATTATAGACAATTAATCAAATCAAACCCAACTAAGCATTGTGTCCCCATCAAGTGTGGTCAGTCACATGAATCTTCTTTTATCATTTATGTTTGTCGAAGGCTATACGATCAATTAAATTAAAATTCATGTCATTTTTTAGTACAACATTCCATTTATGGTATCATATCACTCTTTCTTTTTGTCACATCCACAGGTGGTGGTTGTACATAGCCAAACCATCTTAGTTTGTTCTCTATCTACATATCTTCAGTTGGTGCTACTCTTACCATTTTACAAACGTTTTCATTTCTAATTATGTATTTCTTAGAAGTACCACACATCCATCTAAGCATTTTTATCTCAACTACACTAATTTAATGAATGTGTTGTTTCTTAGTTGCCAATCATTTTGTCCTGTATAGCATCGTTTGCTTTATAGTTGTTGCATAAATTATTATTATTTTTTTAATGTTGTTGGTATTCGTCGCATTATATGTCAGAATCACTTCTCCACTTGAGTCAACCTACTCTTATTCTATGGATCACATCATCTTCAACCTCTCCATCCTTCTTAATAATCAAACCTAAGCATAAAAAGTATTCACTCTTTGTTCTCTCTTGGTTTTCAATCGTCATTTCTTTATTATTTTTACTTGTATTGTTACTAAAGTTACATTCAACGTATTCAGTTTTAGTTCTAATAATTTTATACCTTTTTGACTTGAAGGTTTTCTTTCCATATTTTTATTTTAGTGTTAATTCTTCCCTTTGTTTCATCTACTAAAACAATATAATATGCAAACAATGTACACCATGAGACATCATCGTAAATGTGTTTAATTAATTCATCCGCAACTCAGGCAAATAGATAGACTCAAAGTTGACCCTTGATTGAAAATTCACTCACTTTTCCTATAGATAATCTAATTATAGTCACAATCTCATTATACATGTATCAAACTACCAATGATATAAAACTATAAATATTTTTCTAAAAAGATTTGTGAGATGCAAATATGCCCTTTCCCCCTTTTCTGATTTAGAAATTCATTTTTATTTCTTGGGCAAGAGAAAAAGACGTGTCATGAGTGAAGTCAAAGATAACATTGCATAGGAGAGTGGCCGCGGATTTGAGCATGGTAATCACCTTTCAATGCCTCTTCATTATTTATATTTGTAGTATTTACATCTTAAGTGATGCTACACATCTCACCATCACAGTGGATGACCGCTTGCATGGTAGCCTATTATTCTATTTAAACCTTTACCGTCTTGTACCCCTCACAAGTATTGGTTGGTCAATATGGTAAAATAGCATTGGTAACAACTTTATCCCCCCCTTTTTTTTTGCCATTTTTGTTTTGATCATTGATGAATGTAAAAGTTTTATATTGATTTAGTAATAGAGGGCTGAAATTGTTTCGAAATGTGTGAAAATATTTCCACATGGAGTGACTTAGAGGCTTATATAAATAGAAGGGAGAATAAAAAGTTTGATATATTTGAAAAGTTAATATGAAATTATTGTTTTATTGAAATGAAGCATCGACACTTCAAAACAAGTGCCGTAGGATCGGACACGGGGACATGACGGGGACACATACTTTATTTAATTAATTTGTTTTTAGGGGACACACCAACTAGTTTTTTTTTTTTTCCCTCTCTTTTTCTTTAGTGCTTTTGATGGATGTTAGATGTTGAATGCTTATAACTTTTTGCTTAAATTTAAATACTATCAATATCATCCATAAAAATGATATAGAAAGAAGTTTGAAATTTATCGAGTTTTAGAGCAATTATAAATCACTGCTTTTTTTAAACTTTTATATCTTCCACTTGCATTATGGAGTACATTCTCTGCTTGGTTTAAACTGAATACTTTGTTCTTTCTTTTTCCTTCCTTTCCTTAACTTGAGCTTTGTTTGACATCCCTCATCACTGCCAGTGCTGGATCTTGGCTAGTAGATTATTCAAGGGAATGTATGGGGGATAAGTTAAAGTCTTAACTGGTCAATTGAGACGTGGTGTGCAGCCCAGTCAAAGGAGAATTAGGTATCTGTTATTTCGTGCAATTTCATCAAGCCATGTTGGCTAATTGGTTGTGGAGGTATGCCATGGATGATGGCCAGTTATGGAAAAGGGTAGTGGATTGCAAGTTTGGTCCTCCGAGGATGGACATTGAAGGAGGTTTGGGACTTGTGGTGTTGGCTTATGGAAACGGGTTAAAAAGGGATGGCCTGAATTTTCAAGAATTCCCCCTGTTTGGTTTTGAGTTTTTAAAAACAGTTTTTGAGTTTTCAGTCTGTATTTTTTTTTTATTTTTAGTAAATTTTTTTAATATCTTGGTTAATTTTTTTATTTTATTTTTTAGATGCATCTAATCTAGATATACTTCCAAAGTAAAATATTTGTGAAGAAATCTTTAAAAAAATTCAACAAATACAAAAAATATGAAAGTGTATTGAATTTTTGTATTTCTTTTTCTTTTTGTATCTATTTAGTGAATTTTTAGAAGACTTTTTTTTATAAAGTTTATACTTTTTTAGTGTATTTAGATTAAGTGGATCTAAAAGGTAAAAAACATTGATTAAAATATTTAAAAAATTCACTAAAAAAAAATAAAAAATAAAAAACTGATTGAAAACTCATAAACTGTTTTTGTAAATTCCAAAACCAAACAATTATCTTTGTGAGTGGCAATGGCCATAGAGTGAAATTTTGGCATGATATTGGTTTAGGGATATCCCATTGTCAATAGCTTTCTCAAATTTGTATAGCATTGCTGCTGATAAAAAAAAAAAAAAGGGCTCTTGTGGCGAATTATTTGAGGTCATTATTTTTGATTTTCGTGCAGTTAATGTTCACTCTGATTTGTTTCGGGTTGGGAATAAAAGACAGGACTTATTTTCAGTAGAGCAGTGTTAGGAAATCATGGGTATCTGCCAATGTGCTGTTTCCATTTGGTCAACTACCTTAGATTTTTTCCTTACCTCAAACAATTCACTAATAGATGTTTTAAGGCCAATTGGTGGTGTGTGTGTGTGTTTGAAGGCAGGTGAATTAGTGGATCATTCATTGCTCCATTGCGAGAGTGTGAGAGAGGTATGGGGTTTGCCCTTTTGCTATTCTTGGAATTCAACCAGTGATGTAGTGTATGTTGTTCGTAGATGATATTGTTCTAGTGGATAAACTAAGGAAGGAATTAAACACTAAATTAGAAATTTGGAGAAAAGTACTTGAGTCAAAATGGTTTAAAATTAATAGAAATAAAATTGAATATATGAAATGTAATTTTAGTGACATTGGAAGTAAAAATAAGAATTGAAGATTGAAAAGCGGGAAATAATAGTGAACATTTTCATTACCTAGGTTCGATTATTAATAAAGATGTTGAGGTTAGAGATGATGTGATCTCTAGAATCTAAGTAGGTTGATTCAAGTGGAGGACTAAGTTTGGCATATTATGTGATTGACGAATACCTACAAAATTGAAAGGAAAATTTTATAAGACAACTATAAGGCCATTGAAACAACATGTGCATAAAATGAGTGTGGTTGATATGAGAATGATTAGATGGTTGTGTTGTAATAAGATTAAAAAGATGGAAGTCATTTGTTTGGGTTTTGTATTTTTACTTTGTTGTTCTAACTTGTAGAGGATGCCATATCCTCATTTCTTCCTTTCGATTAGTCAATAAAATTAAATTTTGTTGTTGATCCCAAAAATAAAAAATAAATAAATAATAAAAAAAAAAAGATTAAAAAAGATGGAATTAGAAATGAATGTATTTGCAAAATGGTGGGAGTAGCACCAATTGAAAATAAGTTAAGAGAGAACATGCTAAGATGGTTTGGTCATGTACAATTTATATGTATTGCTTTGGTTTGGGGAGATTCCTGTATAAGGAAGTTATGTTGACTTGAACTTAAGAACTGAAAATGTCTCCTAGACGCGGGTGGGGGAGACTTAAATTGACATGGGATGTGGTGTTAAAAATTATTTGAATATTTTTTAATTTAATTGAGCGTATATAGCCCTTGATAGAGTGTAAATGGTAAAAAATTATTCATATAGACACAAGGCTTAGTTTGGTTATGGTATTTTATTTTGATTATGTGTACTCCTTAGTGTATAGAGTAGAGCATCTGTTGGTACTTTTTGAATAATACTAATTTATAAAAGATCTTTTTTGTGATAGAAAAAACATTGTGCCTTAGTACTAGGCTTGTATTGTCCTCAGGTCCTTGCTGCCAAGTCACCAGCCCAGTTGGGTTTTCATCAAGATCTTGTTAGTCTGGAAGCTGCATCGAAGGTTCGCATGCGCTTTCTTATTGCTGATTTGATGTGGTAGGAATTGTTTGAATTTTGTCAATTGTGACTTCTTTGCAGATACAATTGAAGTCCTTAGCAGAAGAGATGCAAGCTATTATCAAAGGATTAGAAAAGGTAAAGCAGGAGCTGGTTGCATCTGAAAATGACGGCCCTGTATCTGAAGTTTTCCATAAGGTATCCCAACATGTTTTGTATGTTTCTCATTCTGCAACAGTAGATTCTTATGTGTCATTGAGTGATACAACTTTTAATTGTCCCTTTGGACAAAGATTTGAACTTCAATTTGTATTCCTTTTTTCAAATTTTGGAAGAAAGTATTAAAAGTATCACTGAAAGTATCTAATATTATAAACACGACTTCAGTCTGAATGTTGAAGTAATTACTTTTTCTATATAGAAAATCTTTTAAATATTTTGTTCGTTGAGAGGTTTTTATTTTATTTTAGTGCTGTAATTGTACCGCCCTACCTAATAGATTATTATTATTGTTATTTGTTGTTTAGACATTGAAGGAATTCATTGGTACTGCTGAGACAGAGGTGGCATCTGTAACAAATTTGTATTCAGTGGTGGTAATTATCTCTACATCAAAGCATCTATGTGCCTCTCTATTTCCTCTTTAAAATCTTCTAGCATTTTCTTTGTTGGTGGACAGGGTAGAAACGCAGATGGACTAGCCCTTTATTTCGGTGAGGACCCTGCCCGTTGCCCATTTGAACAAGGTAGCATATGATAACAAAATCATCAAATTCTTCTATGTTGAGAAGTAGATGAATGTCTTTTAGCTTGTTTAGAGAATTTTAGGAAGAGAGCACTCTCTTATTTGCGGGGGAGAGGGGGGGAAATGAAGTGTGGAATTTTTGCCATTACACACTACGAGCATCTTCAGTGGGCTCTCATAGAGCCCATTAGCGTCAGAATACTACAGTTACCTGCCATCACTTTTTGCACTTCTCTCCAATGGGCTCTTTAGTTGTGTTGCTAAGTTATCAGATTGTTAAACCCCTCGCTAACGCCAGCGGTGCACTATAGTTAGTTTTTTAATTATTTAATTTACTTCACATACACATTTATATATATTTGTGTGGACCCCACTCTTGCATAATATACATTTTAACACACACCTTAACTACACCATTGGAGCACGCACTCTAAACTAACAAACACTTGACACTTGACACACAATTGGGCCCCACTTTTATCACTTTTTTGTCTATAACACACTTTAACACTCAAATTTAGCTACACCATTGGAGATGCTCTTATGACTGAAATTAAAAACCTGCTCTTACAATAGTGCTTTTCAACATACATGGTATCTTCCTTTTCAGTGATAACAATGATTGCTGTTCCAAGGCTTTGATAGAAACTACTGGGGGCAATAGAAAGTTTTTTGGGTGAATAGGGCAATAGAAAGTTTGCTTACTCTTTTGTAGAATCTGGCAATTGTCGATTTAATGCTAGAATCAGTCTTTTTTTTTTGACAATTGTGTAACATCCTTATTTCTAAATTCTAATCATAAGATCTTTATGGCTTATCAGAGGTCTTCTATAAATGCAGTCAGATTGCTTTGGTTTGGGGAGATTCCTGTATAAGGAAGTTATGTTGACTTGAACTTACGAACTGAAAATGTCTCCTAGACTGGACTAGTTTTTTAGAAAAGGGGCTTCAAGTTATGAAATCACATGGAAAAAATTGAGGATGATCACTTTAGACTCATTTGAAAATTTAGTTTGACTAGCTGAGGGTGTATGTTATGGTAGTTCTGTCAAAATCTACAGATAAGATGGTTTAAAAGTATCAGACCTTGTTGGTTATTGGCTTGCATACTCTTACATTTATATATGTATATATATATATAGTGACAAGTTCATGGTACATACATATATTCTGTGGTTTATACATCTACTTTTGGACGAACACAATAGCACAGGGTAGAAACACGGATGCAATTCAAACCTATTGCATCCGCATTTCTACCCTGTTCTTTTCCCTCGATACCAAGTGAAGGATTCTTCTACTAACTCAATTCTGGAGAACAGGCTTTATTTTTGAAATATTTTGACTCTCTGGCAATGTCATTATGTCACTCGGCTTAAATACTTTGTGAAACACACATGGATTTTATTCAGCTCCTATGGGACATCCCAACTTTCACTCAATGTTGTGTTTGGATCATAGATTTGAATAAGGATTTGTGGAGAGAAGAGAAAAGAAAAGAAAAGATGAGGAAGTGTGAAAAAAATTTAGCTTATATTTCATTCATATTTTCCTCGCCATTTCTTTTCCGTACACAAATTGCTACCTAAATCCGAAATCCAAATACAGCCTAAATGTTTTGCTGATACATGAAATTATCCTGATATATCTTGCTCTTAAGTTCTTGTGATTCATAAATCTTTCTTCTTTTTTTATTTTATTTTTTATGCTGCAATGCTATTACTTCTTTCTTTACGCATATTCAATGACTAAATGATCTATGCAGTTACTGTGACCCTCTTAAACTTTGTGAGGTTGTTCCGGAAAGCTCATGATGAGAACTGTAAACAGGCCGAATTGGAGAAGAAGAAAGCTCAGAAGGAGGTTGAAATGGAGAAGGCAAAGGGAATTAATCTAACAAAGAAGAGTGGAAATAGCTGACATTGTTTGCTTTAGTCCCCACCAGGGGGAGTTGTCGAGTTCTTGCATCAAAGGTCTGATGGGTCTTCAAAGACTGGCAAGGAGCGCCCCTCTATCCAGTATTTTTGTAATATGTATGCCTTTTAGGTTGTGTTTGGATCTTGGATTTGTGAAAGATTTCTGGAGGGCAAGAAAAGGGGAAGGGAAAAGTGAATGAAATAGAAGATAAAATCTTGTGACATTACTCTTCCCTTTTCTATTCCCTCCGTAAATCCTTCCAAACATAACGTTAAGGGGATTCAAGAGGCTTGCAGACCTAAAGCTAGATCTTTGAATAGTTCAGCTGCACTTGCTGGAGCGAATGCCTGCCCATCACTCGGATTATTTCAGCTGGCAGATCTATCACATGGGATATCAAATGGATGCTTGGGATCTAAATAGTAGGATGTTCTTTATATGATTTTCAGAAGAACGGTTCTGACCCTTTCTCAGTTCATATATGGAAGATCTCAGTGACATTGGATCGTTCTAATATAATAGACACGCAATTTTGGCTTCCACCATTCGTTTGGCATTTCAGCAACAGAGTACTCGGGACTGTAAAGTACCACCACACAATGTATACCATGAACCATGTACAGAGCTCTAACCCTGTAGTTACATTCAAATTTGATTCTTTTCATTGTAGCATAGATACATAGGTCTTGTTTTTTCCCCCCTCAGAATATTGAGATTTTGTCCGAAATTCATCACAAAATTGTTGTATAGAAGGAATAGGATAAGAAGAGAGGAAGTAGGAGAGTGGTTCTCTCATTTGTGCAATTGTAATATAATCATGCTATAAGTTGTTGCCTTAGAAAAACTGCTTTTTCTTTCATTGATTCTTCTTTTAGTTAAAGATATTCTCATTTATTTGATATAAAAGCTTGTCTTCCTTATCTTCTTGTACTCTTGTGCTTTTTGACGAGTCTATTTGGTAATTCTGGCTTTTTTACCAACACAATGTGCTTCATCTTTCTCTTTTTAGATATAAGCGTGCTGGATTAATTTTTACATTTATGCTGATAGATTTTGCAACTCAATTTAGAAGATCTTAATCATCGTGGTTATATTTTGGAAGTAATAAAAGTTTGTTTTTAATTTCTTAATGTTTTCTAGCTTTTATATGTTGGTCAGTTATCTTGAGCACAAGTTTTCTCACAATGTGCATATTCGTGTCTTGAAAACAGAAGATGAAAACACAGCCAAACAATTGGTTGTGCTTGTTGGCAAATCCTAGGATATGCTATCTGTCTGAATTTGTTTTAAAACTTTCTTCCATTGGTGACTTTGCGTTTTTTGTGACAATGTGATTATCCATTTAAGAAATTTTTGTGTGGGACATTACGAGACAATTATGCATGCATTGGGAGCTTGACAAATGATTTCATTTGATATAAACTATTGAACAAAAATATATGGTTAAGATATGAACTACCAAAGGTATAGCCTTACTATGTGTTCTCATTCATTAATTCATATCCAAGCTATGAATTTTTATTCGGTGATTGATATTTGAACAAAATTGATAGTGTGAACTGAGAAGAATTGTGGTGTGCAAATAGAAACTCATAAGAGGAAGGAGAGTGACATATGAATGCAATCTTATAAGATATTGCCAACTTCGGCATTGGCATGTAGAGATTACGGGCGTTCAGCGGATATTTCGATCTGTTCAAATCGATTGAACTGAATTGAATCGATTTGTTATATTTTAGAAAGATGTGTGATGACGAGCGAATAGTTGTGGATTTATTTCTTTCAATCTGCCTAGTTTTGAACAGATGATGGGTTTGAGATTCCTTCGGCCACAATTGAACCGTCAAACCGCAAGCACCTTTAGCAATTTGTAAGACTTTGTATTTTCAATTTATTTAAATATTCTGTTTTTGTTTTCAATTGAAAAAGAGTTTAAATATTTTGTTGCGTTCTCAATTTAGAAATCCTTTTATCAAATGGCAAATGTTGATATTTGGTATTTTTTTGTGAAAAATATAAGGTTTAATTTTGTCATTTAAAAAAAAAAATCAAATTAAATAGTTTTTGAATTAAAAAAAAAAGTAATGAAATAGTTTTGACAATGTATGATTTTCTTATATGTATTTATTATTGGTATTTGACAATTTATTTAATAATCTTTTGATTATGTTGAGTTGGATTGTTATCCTCCAAAAAAAAAATGTTGACAAGTTGTAGTACGTTCAAAATTTGTGAAAGTTTAAACCGCCAAATCGATTCGCATCCATCCGCCAATCCGTTTAATCCGCATCCGCCAATTCGGCGGATGGATGCGGATTGATTTTTTCCAATCTGCCAATTCGACAGACGGATGGCGGATTGGAGGCTCCTCGACCGCAACTGAACCGCGAGCACCCCTAGTAGAGATGTAAGAAAAATCGAAAAAATCGACCAAACTGATTGAATCGGACCAAACAAGCTGTATTTGGTCTATTTTTTTAATAAAAATCGGTCTGTGCGGTTTTAAATTTGTTTTTTTTCAATTTTCGATTCGGTATCGGTTCAAATACCTTGTGTACCAAACTAAACCGAAACTGACCACTTTAACATATATTGTATTTATAATATATATAATATAATAATATAATGATATTAATAAGTATAATAAATTATCAACCTTAATTAATTAACCATATCATCTTTATAACCTAAGTTTGTAAACTCTTATTATATATAATCTTAACTCTAACTAATTATTCTTGAAACCTTAATATTTTTTAACTTTTTTTTGTTTTTATTTTTGTTAATCTCGGAATTGAAAAATATTTATTAAATGGATGGATTGTAAATGTTTGAAATAGTGGACAAATAACTAATTTAATATTTTTATATAGATCAATGATTATATTTAAAATTAACTCAAGTTTAAAAAGCTCTAAATCGATTAAACCGTACTAAACTAAAACGTTTCAATCGGTTCGGTTTGTACGATTTGATGAGAGAAGCGATCTATATCAATGTTTAAAGTAATAAAACTGAAGTGCAACAAGTATTTTTACATAAATATCAATTGTACCGAACCGATTACACCCCTATTGGCACATTATGAATAAACCAAGGTGGTTGCTTGGCGTACCATAAATTGACATTCAATTCTTGTGGTACGAAAAGCAAAACACAAGAAAGGTTAGGGATGTTATGTGAATAAAATAAAAATAAAAATGTGCATAATGGCACACATTTTTTTTTTCTTTTTTTTTTGGGGCACTTCTATGGGTTATTTCTCTAAATAAGTCAAATTATCAATTCAATTCTTAAACTAAGCCTAGTTTTGAAAAAATTCTCAAAATAGGCTAAAACGTGGTTCACAACCACGCTTTCAACATTTGTGTACCTGTCCTGCGCGAAAATTAGGAAGTCTTAAAAGCGTGGTTACAAAACGTACTTTTAATTAATAAAGCGCGGTTATAAAAGGCGCTTTTAATCAAATTTTTTTTTCTTCTGAAATTGCTGTTCTGAACCACACTTTTAACTTAAATTTTTTTTCTTCTGAAAGCGCAGTTGTGAACCACGCTTTTAACCAAAAAAAAATTTCTTCTGAAATCGTGGTTATGAACCACGCATTTAGCTTAAATTTTTTTTCTTCTGAAAACGTAATTATGAACCACGCGTTTTACATAAACTACACCAATTATTTAGTTTCAGTTTAACTGAACTCTGAAGAAGGTTTTTTTTTTTTTTTTGTTTCTATTGTCATTGTTTTGGTAATAATGTATTTCAGAATAATTTTTTGGATTAAAATTGTTTTACTAAAACCGTTCTCATGTTAATTTTTTTTTCTTTTCTTTTGTTTTTATTTTGGGTTAGAAGGTGTAATTCAGAATTTTTTTTGGCTTTACTAAAGTAAATTTATTTTATTTTTTCTTGTGTTTGTTTTGGGTTAGAAGGTGATAATGTAATTCATAAATTTTTTGAGCTTTAGTAAAGCCGTTTTGATGTAAATTTTTATTTTATTTTATTTTATTTTCTCTTTGTTTTGGGTTAGAAGGTGTTATTCAGTAATTTGTTTGGGCTTTAATAAAACCGTTTTCATTTAAAAATATATATTTTTTCTTTTGTCTTTGTTTTGGGTTAGAAGGTGATAATGCAATTCAGAAATTTCTTTTCGTTTTACTAAAGCCGTTTTCAAGTAAAGTTTTTTATTTTTTATTTTTTTCTCTTGTCTTTGTTTTGGGTTAGAAGGTTTTATTCAGAAATTTGTTTTGGCTTTACTAAAGCCGTTTTCATTTAAATAATTTTTTTTTTCTGTTGTCTTTGTTTCAGGTTAGAAGGTGATAATGTAATTCAGAAAATCTTGAGGAAAAAACACATAAGTCTTCCACAAAAATACATAGATAGTACAGACATAAGTCTCCGACAACAATACATTCTGGACACTATGAACTGAACACACAATACATACATAAACATAACAGTTAGACAGACAAATATTAGCCAGACAATCTGACAAACTCATTACGGAAACACTTAGTCTAACACAGACATTACATATTAATGCATGACCTAATATTGCCGAAGTGTAGACATTAACACCTAACTCGCGCTTAAATCGATAGGTGGCTCAGAGTCTGAATAATCCGAAAGCTCAGCGTCAGAGACAAGTTCAGGATCCTCCATGATACCCTTGATAGCCGCAACATTTGGTTCTGTTCTGTTTTTCTGGGCATCCTTCTTAACTATGTATAGCTGCATATCACGGGCTAACCTATGGCGCATTTGAGAAATCTCACGTTGTAGTCTTTCACATAGTCGATCAACATTATCAGGATCTTTCTTTTGGATCTCAACAGAACGTGCTTTTGGCACCTTCAGTCGATTTTTCGGACATAATCTTTCCATTTGCACTCACTCTATAAATAGTGCGAGCCACTTCAGAAGTCTAGCATTTGCTAAACCATATCCTGTTTGATTATCTGATGGATCCTCCACCAAACCACATCAATCTCGATAGTACTTGGGCATGACAAAATGTCGCTTCCCAAACCTATCATGATAAGCACAAGAGGCATCTAACAATGTAAATGGTGTTTCATCTTCAGCATCGCCACTTTCCCTTCCCCCTCCTCGTCGTGAACTGTCACCCCTTTGCAAGTTCCTACCACCTCTGCAATTCTCACTCCCTCCCATGAACCATGTAGCCATGCTAATTTTTTAAAACAAATGAATGATAATTTCCTAGGGCGAAATGAGTTGTAAGGTTGTGTCTTCACCTTTAGTCGTTTAAATAGTTGGTTATGAACAGCTTTAGAAAGATGCCCCTGAATGACAATCCCACATATACGAACAAGGTATGAGTTGTCACTAGAATGAAAAAACAGAGAAAAGCAAATACTGTGTACCAAGTCACGTGACTTGACAATCCATCTGCATATACCGACAAAGTAAGGGCATGCCCACTGTAAGGTAAATAAGTTAATTCACTGTTGGCATGTGACTTTCTGAATTGAGAATCACTGTAATAAAAAAATCGAGCAAAAAATCGATAAAACCAAAGCTTGTGCACCAAGTCACATGACTTGACAATCTATCTGCATATACCGACAAAATAAAGGCATGCGCATTGTAAGGTAAATAAGTGAATTCACTGTTGCCATGTGACTTTATGAATTGAGAATCCCACATATATGAATAAGAGATGAGCTGTCACTGCAATAAAAAAATCGAGCAAAAAATCGAGAAAACCAAAGCCTGTGCACCAAGTCACATGACTTGACAATTCATTTGCATATACTAAGAAAATAAGGGCATGCTCACTGTAAGGTAAATCAGTGCATTCACTGTTGCCATGTGACTTTATGAATTGAGAATCCCACATATATCAAATTGGTGTTGAGTTGTCACTGTAATAAAAAAATCGAGCAAAAAATCGAGAAAACCAAAGCCTATG